GTTACACACAAGGGTTGATAATCCACTCCGCTCGCCAGCCATGGCAGGTGCGCCGTCCGTAATAATCCCAGTGACTTTATTCCACTGTAGTTTCATGTCATCTACGGCGGAACAAAGAGAAACAAATAAATCTGTTCCTCTTGTTTGGCCCTTCAGACTCTGGAGGTCCAGAAGCTCTTCACTCACGTTCATGTCATTGTCCACTCCTCTCAGAAAGATCAGTAACTGAGCGGTGTCGGATGCATCCGTGCTTTCATCGCAGGCTAACGAGAAAAAGTCAAACTCAGTTCCTTTTGCCTCTAACTGTCTCTTAATATCTCTAGAAACGTCTTCAATTCTCCGTACCACAGTGTTACGAGCCAGGCAAATATTGGCAAACTCTTGCTTCTTGGAGGGACAAATTTTCTCAACAATTGTCATCACACAGTCTTTAATAAATTCACCCTCAGTGAAAGGTTTGCAGTGCTTTGCAATCAGCTTTGCCACCTCGTAGCTTGCCTTTGTGGCATTTTCATTTGAGTCACGGGCTCTTGTGAAAAAGCGCTGCTGCGCCGTTAAAACAGCTTCCAGTTGCTTCACTTTTTCACCGCGTTCGTTCCCAGTTAGCTTGTCATAGCTAGCATGTTTCGTCTGGTAGTGCCTCTTGATGTTGAATTCCTTGAAAACAGCCACAGTCTCTTGGCAAATTAGGCAGACACAGTTGTTTTGTATTTCAGTGAAAAAATAATCCAATTTCCACCTGTCCTGGAAGCGGCGGCCCTCGCAGTCAACTTTCTGTTTTTTGTTTACAGTCGCCATGTTAGAAATGGACGGGGCTGAAACATCACACAACGCCAAGGGCACGGCAGCCATGGTGCGGCCACAGGGCTATGGCCATCTTCTGGTGAAAAGTAAAATAGCTTTTTTGTACACATGCATTTTATACTGTGGTCAACAGTGTGGCGGGCCACATATTATTGATATTGATATTATTGATAGAGGCCGCGGGCCGGTAAAAATTTGACCACGGGCCGCAATTGGCACGGGGGCCGGACTTTGGACATGTCTGTTTTATTCAAACAACTCTGACAGCTTTAAGTGTGAAAGGACCATGTGAAGAGTTCTGCAGAGCTGTGCTTATTTGTATTTGTGGCGACTGCCCTCTTACCTGCAGGTCTTGGGTTCAACTTCTATTCCCCATATGCTTTTTTTTTTGTCTATTTAGTCTTGATGAACTGGAGACATGTCCAGGCTACACCCGGTCTCTTATCCAATTACCCTAACCTGGAACAGGATCAAACGGGTAAAGATGAAGGATGGATGCATTTGTAGCCTTTTCAATTTAGTCATTACAAATGGGTCATTATCAAAACTCCTCTGCATGATGGCTTGATAACTCATGAGCCTCATTTTGTAGCTGACCACACCCGTAAATCTACTCACTTCAACCATTCTGTATTTTGAACAGGACCCAAAATAATTTAATTCCCCCACTTGAGGCAATGCACTTCCATATCAGAGATAGCCTTCTGCCCTTTTTACATTTGAGAAGCATGGCTTTGCTCTTGAAGGTGAAAATTCTCATAGTGATTGATTTCCACCAGACTATGTTTCCCATGCCTGATGGAGATCTGGAGTCCCTAGAGTTGGAAACTGGTATTTTCTGGTTTTAAGGCACTAAAGGCAGACTTGACACAATGTAACAAAACTTTTTTTTAATACAACAGTCACAATTCTCGTCAGCACCTCCAAATCTGAGACCATGGTTCTCGACTGGAAAAGTGTGGTTTGCCAACTCTGGGTCGGGGGAGAGGTCCTCCCTCAAGTGGAGGAGTTTAAATATCTCGGGGTCTTGTTCACGAGTGAGGGAAGGAAGAGGCGGATTGAGGCAGTGTCTGCAGTTATGCGGATGCTAAACCGATCTGTCGTGATGAAGAGGGAGCTGAGTCAGAAAGCATGGCTCTCAATTTACCGGTCCATCTACGTCCCAATCCTCACCTATGGCTTTGGGTGATGACCGAAAGAACAAAATCGTGGATACAAGCAGCTGAAATTAGTTTCCTTCGCAGGGTGGCCGGGTTCAGCATAGGGATAGGGTAAGGAACTCGGACATCCGGGAGGGACTCGGAGTGGAGCCACTGATCCTCCGCATCGAAAGGAGCCAGTTGAGGTGGTTCGAGCATCTTGTCAGGATGCCTCCTGGACGCCTCCCTCGGGAGGTGTTTTGGGCATGTCCTGCCGGCAGGAGCCCCTTGGGTCGTCCCAGGACTACCTGGAGGAAATATATCTCTAGGTTGGCCAGGGAACGCCTGGGTGTCCCAGCTGAGGAGCTGGCGGACGTGGCCGGGGAGAGGATTGCCTGGGAGGCCCTATTTGGGATGCTGCCCCCGCGACCCGGATAAGCGGAGGAAGGTGAGGTGAGACAATTAAAATTTGCACTCTGCAGAACTTTTGTCTAGATCTAGTAGAGTTTAAAAGTCAACTTTACTCATGTTTTAATACATTTGCAGTGGTCTCTAGTAGGAATAAATGCCTTGTAAGTTGTTCTCTGGGGAAAAAGCTCCAGTGTGCCTTGTTTGAGGATGTAGAAATCAGCCGGAGAAGAAAGTAGTTCTCTTCTTACATATTGCCTCTGATTGGCTAACAGCAACACAACTCTACCACTGATTCCATTTGCTCTGGAACGTCGATGTTTAATCTCCACAAATAACACGGGCATGGAGAAGTTCTGCTGTGTGGTGGAATAGCTAATGCTAACGGTTAGCTTCCACTAGTTGAGACGTTCTCTGCTGTTTCCTGGATGCTAAGCCAACAGCAGTGTTCACCGTCGTGGGTCAAGCTGGGTGAGCCCATGAATGTTAAGTGGCAGTGTGACGTAAATCTGTCACGTTTTTTATGTCTTTTTCCATCCGAAACAAATGCAGGAAAATGGGGTAGAAGACAATTTTAAAGGTCAGCCTGCATGTCAAACTCTGGGTGACCAATCAGTTTCAATATGAAGCAAAAAAATGGTTTCTCGGGGAAAATTCTCTCTGAAACCTCTAACCTGACGCGTCCTGTTTCTGAGATTCAGGGTTTAAAGGAGACGTTTACCACAGCTGCTCTTTGGTGTTTACGCTTTGATCGGGTGAAGCTCTGATGGACATCAGAGGTCCATGTTTATTTCAGCGGAAGGCCGCCAGCTTTCACCACACTTTCTGTGGCTAGTTGCCTTGTTTGAAATGTAAAACCTACTTAAAACATCCTGAATTCCCATTAGCATACACCTTTTTTGGTCTCCTTTACACAGAAGATATTTGAAAAGAGGTTTAGAGGGTAATTCATTGTGAATATAAAAATGTCTATCAGTGTGTCTTTGATTCCACAAAAGGAGGCTATTTTTAGATCAAAGCGTGTTTCATTACAGCTGTCTGGACTTAGTGCGATTGCAAAGGCAATGAAGGGAGATGGGAAATGTGATAGCGAAGAAAATGAGTTTAACAAATCATCAGCATAGATTCAGTTTGCTGGAGACTTTCAAGAGGTCCTAGACAGGTTGTTTGAAAAATAAATGAGTGAGGAGGGAACACATTCATTCTCCATCCATCTCCCTACAGCACTGCCCCCACCCCTCAACCACACACAGTCATTTCACCCCACTCAGACTTGCTGTTGAGGGGACATATCGGAAAGCTATTAGCGCTCATTATGCTTTACAGCCTCTGGTTTTCCTCAGTCTGCCTTTTAATTACATGCGTTCATGTGTGCATGCGCATCTATGCGTGCAGCTACCTGTGTGTGCACAGATGCTTGAGTGTGTGTTTGTGTGTGTGTGTGTGTGTGTGTACTACAGCCCTCTTGGTCAGGCATACAGTTATGAACATATTTTACTGTGATGCTGCAGGAGACCACAAAGTCACCCCCACCTCTCATACACTCAGTCACAACCACTTTTTATGAGGGAGTCAATAGCACAGGCGCCATCTTTTGTAGAAGCCATCCATGCTGCAGCAATGTTGTGCACTCATAGACCATGTCAGCCAAATGGGCTCGGATGGTGTGCAATGCAAATACAAGGAGGTTCGAGTGAAATGGATATGGATTTATTTATTTTTAGTTATTTATTTATTTTTTTCAAGAAAATGAGGCGGAAATCTTTCCAGTAACCCTACGAGTATCCTTTTGGTTCTTGTAACTCCAAATAACCAGGATCTCAAAAAGTGCTGAATTTCCCCTGATGGCTTTATTTTTAATTGTGCTGCAGTTTGATCATCCATGACTGTGTGCATGTGTGTGTGTGTGTGTGTGTGTGTGTGCATGTGTGTGTGCGTGTGTGCATGTGTGTGTGCATGTGTGTGTGTGTGTGTGCGTGTGTGTGTGTGTGTGTGTGTGTGTGTGTGTGTGTGTGTGTGTGTGTGTGTGTGTGTGTGTGTGTGTGTGTGTGTGTGTGTGTGTGTGTGTGTTTCTGGCAGCACAGAGAAATAGCATTTTAAATAACTTAGACTCACACAAACACTGCCATGTGCCTCCCCTCCTAGTGAGTGGCTCCCATGATCCATCTGTGACATGACAACACTCCAGCTCTTCAGCAAGGAAAACCATTCTTTCTATTCCATCATTTGTCCATAACTTATTTTTTTATTCTCAATCCTCCCTTCCTGAAACATTTCCCCTCCGGACTGTTTAAATGATTTATTTTTTAATGTTTCATTCTTCTCTTCCATCCTTTTCTACTCTTTCCAATATTTTTTTTTCATCTTATTGAATCAGTAAAAAATTGACACAGGTTTGATGACAGCAGAGAGACTGAACAGAGTGATGCCCCCAATTGATTGCTGACCACCAGTCAGTAGAACATCTCAGCTTCTGTAGCCGAGATGTTCATTATTATAATCACACAACTGGTGATGAAAGTAATTGAGACTGGAATGATAATGAAGCCATTAATGATGCTGATGGGGGGAAAATGGGGTCTTTTGTGATAACGACGATGATCATGAAGATGTTTGTCAGCTATCTGAGCATTTTTTTTTTTGGCCCAGATGGGGAGAGACAGACGGACGGGACAGACGCCAGTCGACGGAGGGACACTCGCTCCTCGGCCGGACACCACAAAAGCGAGGACACCAGTGACAGCAGGGAGGAAGAGGCAACAGTGAGTTTCTCTTTCTTGTGATTTTCCCACTCATTGGGACGTCCTTGCATAGAAAAACTCCCCAAAACAAGCTTTTCCTATTCTCTCCACCTACAGTTTAGTGCTCCAACCTGCTCAAAGTGACCTGTTTTTTACTATTAAAGGTATTCAGATGTATTCAGAGGAAACTGCTTAGGATGCATCGTTAACAATGTGCTTTATTGTTTAAAACGCTTCGTTTTACTGAAGCAAATGTAACAGTTTAGCACGTTGCCCCCACCCACAGTTTTGGATTTAAATGTTTCGAGCTCCAACAGGCCACAGCTAAAACTACTTTGTGAATGCGCTGGCTACCTTTTGCGACCTTCCTTTCAGCATTTTTGCTTGTTATGTTTTCCTACTGAAAGATGTGAATTTAGACTGAATGACACGTAATAACAGCAGAATATTAGACAAGAACTTCCTCATTCGTTTGTCATCATTCTGTTTTCATTCTATTCGGTTTGGTTTTTGATCTTTTCTGAGTTCTCCAGGATCATGATGCATTAGATGGGTTGAATCGACAAGCTAAAATTACCACCAGGCAGTGATTATCAATGTCATCCCAACAAAACAAAAAAAGACTTTTCAAAAGCAAAAGTTTAAACCTGCACGCTGCTTCACTTGCAGATATGTACAGATTCTGTTCAAATCGATTAGAAAGGACCTCCTGCTTGAAGGGATAGTATTACTTAGATGCCTAATCCAGTATGACTACGTTTCCAATACAGATGTTTGTTTTGAACATCTAGCCCCAGCTCATTAAAGGCATTCCATGCAACTTTTCCATATTTTAAAACCATTTTGCACTCGTGATATTAGTTTGTCCTGCTAGAGCGAGACATTGTTCACTTTAGCTCACTGAAATCTTGGACTGTATGATGTGCCACTTTTACTGAGACCTCACACTGGGACACGAGCAGTTCTGTGCGACTGCCGAAAAACACACGGTGTGATCCGAGGTTTAGAGCCCTTCAGTGGGATTGGGATCCTGCGGGTCCCTTGGGTTCATTGGATGGGAACGGGCACCCAAGAATAAACAACAAGTCCTGAATGTGCTTAAAGGTAGGGAATGCGCCTGAGGTAGCTGAAAGCATTTAGGCTGGACAATATGGAACTAAAGGAAAATTTGATGTATGAAAACCACAAAGGTGTGCCATGGTCATTGAAAAGTTTATCTTTTTTGTTGGCTTACGAAAGAAGGTAGACCAGGCGAGTTTGGACACAAATATTGGGGGAGCAGACGGGATTGAAAGAGACAAACAGCCGGAGTGATAGGTAATGGTCAGGAGTTCAGCGGAGGAGGGGTAAAAATAGTCCTGTGCAGGGTTCTAGTTCAAGTCTCTTGGTGTCTGGTTTAGGGTTGGACATCGTTTGATTTTGAACGATTCCGGTTCCTATCGATTCCCGATTCCGATTCTTTCAAGACATTACATGTTTTACATGAGAAGAAAAAGACCTGCAGCACAATCAGTGTGTTTGGGACTCGGTACTGCAAACACACAGCTGGTGTGATCAGCTCTGAAAAGCGTTGATCACAATTTGCAGATCACGTTTATTTTTCACGGAGATCTGCCGCGGATTCCTCTTCCGGCCGGCATACTAGGAATCGAAATAAAAAACTTTGAACGATTCCGGGAAAAACTAACAGTTGGTCCCGGTTCCAATCGATGCTCGATGCCCAACCCTAGCTCAGGTTTACAAATGACAAGAGTCTGAAACAACCTTCACCTGATAAATCCTTTCTAGCCTAGAAACACCATGGGATACCCCAGGAAGAGCTGGATTGTGTTGCACCGAACCGGGAACTGGAGTTACCCTCTAGTTCTGTTATCCATGGATGGCTGGGCAAATGTGGTTCCTTCAAAGTTCCCAAATTAAAAAGAAAAAAAATCATGAAGTGAAAAAGAGATTTTGTTCCATTTTACACCATCATCTCTCATAACTCACATAAAACCGTCTTTTCATTGTTTCTGCAAAATAAAATGATCTCCAGATTCACTATTCATCATCAGGCCCTCAGATGGGCAATTCATTATTGATGCCTTCTTCCTAAACCTCAATTGACCAGATCACTTGGCGCTGGTTTTGACAGGAGCTCTATCTCAAAGTTGCATCTTGTCCGTGGCATGCTTTTATCACCAGTAGGATAGACCACTGCAATGCCCTGCTTTCTGGTCTTCCCAAAAAGAGCACTTCAGGTCTACAACTTTTACAAAACTCTGCAGCTCGTGTCCTGACGAAGACCAGGAAGCAGGAGCACATCACTCCGGTTTTAGAATCACTGCACTGGCTCCCTGTATGTTTCAGGATCGATTTTAAGATACTCTTAATGGTTTTTAAGTGTCTTAATGGTCTTGGCCCGTCTTATCTCTCACAACTGCTTTTACCGTATGAACCCCCGCGGTCCCTGCGCTTCTCTGGCAGCCGTCTCCTTGTCATTCCTAGAGTCAGGACTCGCACTCACGGCGAGGATCTCAGGGTCGCAGAGAACGTTCATGTTTTTAAGATCAGGCTCAAGACCCACCAAATTTAGTTTAGCTTTTAACTGATTACTATTTATTGCATTGCTTGTTTTACTTATTTATTTATTTATAATTACTGTTGTGTTACACATTCATGTTGTTTTATTTGTATAATCACATTTTATTGGATATTTTACATCATACATTTTATATATTTTCCATAATAGCTCTTGTTATTTTACATGTCACGTATTCTAACCCTTCCCGTGTTTCCTCTGTGGAGCCCTCTGCCTCGGGACCGGTGGCCGGTGGCGGCGGCTGGGGTGCTCCTAGGGTAGTTACCAGGTAGTGGTGGGGGCTGCCACCCTCCCTCCCAGGGCGCCCTGGATTGGTGTCTTGGCTGCTGCCGTCGATCAGCTGCTGTCGAGGCAGATGGCTCCCTTGATGGCGTGTCTTTCATTACCTGTCCAATCTGAGCTCAGCCTAGTGTTTACTGTGGTCTTTTAAAGTGTTATGTGGATGAGTCTCTGTGTGTGTGTGTGTGTGTGTGTGTGTGTGTGTGTGTGTGTGTGTGTGTGTGTGTGTGTGTGTGTGTGTGTGTGTGTGTGTGTGTGTGTGTGTGTGCCTGGGAATGGTTTGTGGATTGGAGGAGAAACTGTCACAATTGTTTTAAGTGTGGGAAAGGGAGGGAATGTGGGTTGTATGGGTCGTTTTAACATGCCAAGCACTTTGTGTTGCAGCTTATGCATGAAAAGTGCTACATAAATAAAGTTAGACTCGATTTGATTTGATTTGATTTGAGGCTCTCTACAAGCTACCCGTGCTCCTGAAGATTGGCAGACAGCAGACAATCTGCTGTAATTAAATGCTTGCTACATATTTGGTCTAAGAACAAAACAATCCAAGAGAAAAAGTACAAACAAATAGTGAGTTTATTTCAACAAAATGAAATTACTATTCCACACTGTTTATTTTGTTGCTTTTGCTCCTCTGTGTCTGATAAATGTAACACTATGGCAAAAAATCTGAAGCGTAACGCCACCTAAACCTACCACACAGAACATGCCAGGACTGGTTGCAGGAGGTTAAGCCCTAAAGAAGGTTTACGTTAAACTGTTGTGATATCACTCTGCAGCTGTCGCCTTGCTGTGGGCACCAGCGGGGAGTAGAAGATGACCATATATCTCATTTCATAAAAATCAGTCATTTTAGAAATTGATTTAGGGCAAAGCTTTAGGAAATGTGCTCGAAGAGATAAGAGCCTTGAGGGGAAGCTGGCTGGGCTTTTTTGTTAAATTTTTTTTTATAGCCATCCTCCAATCTCTAAAACCTGCCTGATGGTGTTAAAGCATTTCTGTGAAACTCAAATGAAATCTGCTCTCAGAATGAATCAGGCTCATGCCTTCAGGCAATTCTGCCGCGCTGTAAGCACTTTGCAGAAGTCGCTAAAATGCGTCACAAAGTTTATAGAGTACGCTTTACGAGTTTTATTTGCACCATTTTATCACATGCTACTTAAATGGCAGGTGATGGATTTGGCTAAGTTTGGATGATGATTACCTAAATGAACGGAGCTCACAGTTCCACAGTAAACCTTCACTAAATCATCACAGTGACAATATAAACAATAGAACTGGTCCGCTGCAGGAGGTACTTATTTGGATTTACGATCTGTAGACTATATTGCTAGGCTCTGTTTATGGTTATCTATAAGACACGTTTATTTGCAGCAAGCTCTGCATTTTCTCATTTTGGCGGTGCATGTGTGTGTGTGTGTGTGTGTGTGTGTGTGTGTTAACACAGCAAACCCTTAAGTCTTTCCTGCTTAGCTCTATAATGGCATCTCTCCATCTATAATTTACGCACCCGTTTAAATGATCTTTGTTCCATTAATTCATGATCTCTTAGTGCTGATGTGGGTGTACGTAGGTCCCTGTACATTTAATGTGTTTTTTAGACATTGCTCCTCTCTCAACACTTAAAAACTGAGGAAATCCATGGCACAAAAAATAAAAAGTGAATGCCATTGGTCTGGAGGCTGTCTCAGGAAGAACGTACTAAAGGTTGCTGCCAAAGGTCATAATATTAGTGTTATAGGATCTGATAGTTGTGTGTTTAGGAGGAAGCTTTAGATACTTTTCTGTGTAGCAACCGGTGTGCTTCTCCTTTTGAAGTAGTTTTGTTTTTGCTGAAGTTTAAGATCAATTATCCTACAGGAATGAATGAAAATGTTGCCAAAATGATCTTGATTAGAGATGCACCAATTCCAATTGTGAGGGATGATACTGATTCATTTACGGCTCTGACTTTCAGATGATCCAGATTTGTACTGACACAATTCAATCATCTCACTTTATTTTGGTGCATCTCTAATTGTGTAAGTTGTTTTCAAAGCTACAATTTGGAATTTTCCCACTTTCACTGTGGTTATTTTTTTTTAGAAATCCATTAAAATGATAGTGTGATATAATGTAGACAATAAGTTTTATTTTATTATATATATTTTTTGCTAAGCTG